ATTCGGGGATTCGGGAATCCGGGAATTCGGGAGTTTTGGGAATTCAGGGAGTTTTGGGAATTTGGGAGTTCGGGAATTCAGGAATTCGGGAATTCGGGAATTTGGGAGTTCGGGAGTTCGGGAATTCGGGGAGTTTTGGGAATTTGGGAGTTCGGGAGTTCGGGAATTCGGGAATTTGGGAATTCGGGAATTCAGGGATTCGGGAATTTTGGGAATTCAGGAGTTTTGGGAATTCGGGAGTTTTGGGAATTCGGGGAGTTTGGGAATTCGGGATTTTGGGAGTTGGGGAATTTGGGAATGTGCGATTTTGGGAGTTTGGGAGTTTGGGAATTCGGGAGTTTGGGAATTCGGGAGTTTGGGAATTCGGGAATTTGGGAATTCGGGAATTTGGGAATTCGGGAGTTTGGGAGTTTGGGAATTCGGGAGTTTGGGAGTTTGGTGTAGGAATCCGGGAATTTGGGAATTTTGGGAATTCGGAGAGTTTGGGAATTCAGGACTTCGGGAATTGGGGAATTTGGGAATGTGCGATTTTGGGAGTTTGGGAATTTGGTGTGGGAATCCGGGAATTTGGGAATTTGGGAGTTTGGGAATTCGGGAATTCGGGAATTTGGGAATTTGGGAGTTTGGGAGTTTGGGAATTCGGGAGTTTGGGAGTTTGGTGTGGGAATCCGGGAATTTGGGAATTCGGGAGTTTGGGAATTCGGGAGCTTGGGAATTTGGGAATTTGGGAATTAGGGAATTTTGGGAATTCGGGGATTTGGGAATTTTGGGAATTCGGGAGTTTGGGAATTCGGGAATTTGGGAATTCGGGGATTCGGGAATTTGGGAATTCGGGAATTTTGGGAATTCGGGGATTCAGGAATTTGGGAATTCGGGAGTTTTGGGAATTCAGGAGTTGGGGAATTTGGGAATTCAGGAATTTTGGGAATTTGGGAATGTGCGATTTTGGGAGTTTGGGAGTTTGGGAATTTGGGAATCCGGGAATTCGGGAATTTGGGAATTCGGGAATTTTGGGAAGGGGGGACGAAATTTCGGGGAACAGGAGACGGAATTCTGGGAGTGGGATGGAATTTTGGGAACGAAGGATGAGATTTTGGGAAGAGGTGGGACAAAATTTCGGGAACGGGGGAGGGGATTTCGGGGATGGAATTTGGGGGGTGGGGGAGGGGCCCCAGCAGCCTCCACCAATCAGCGATGGGCGGGGCAATGACATCACCGCGGTGACGTCACTCACAGAACCGAACCGATGACGTCATCACTGGGTGGGGGAGGGGAACCCCGAGTGTTTTTATTGCCGTGATTTGGGGAGGGGGTCCCCAACCGCCCCTCCCCCACCCCTGTGATGTCATCGGGGTCCCCAAGGCCCCAAATTTGGGTCCCCAAGGTCCCATTTGGGGTCCCCAAGGTCCCTGGGGGGTCCCCAAGGCCCCAAATTTGGGGTCCCCAAGGTCCCATTTGGGGTCCCCAAGGTCCCATTTGGGGCCCCAAGGTCCCATTTGGGTCCCCAAGGTCCCAGTTTGGGGTCCCCAAGGTCCCATTTGGGTCCCCAAGGTCCCAGTTTGGGGTCCCCAAGGTCCCATTTGGGGTCCCCGGTGTCCCCAGGCTGGGGACGCTCGAGGGTCCATGAGGAGCCGAGGCGGGGCTGGGTCACAAATGTCCCCAAATGTCCCCAAATGTCCCCAAATGTCCCCAGAGTTGTGTTTGGGGTCTCTCGCGGGTCCGTGAGGAACACGAGGCCGTGGTGGGGGACGGGGACGGGTCCTCCATGTCCCCAAATGTCCCCAGTGTCCCCAGATGTCCCCAATGTCCCCAAATGTCCCCAGTGTCCCCTCAGGGGTCGATGAGGAGG